AGGCTTGAAGCTTCATGCACTGGTAGATAAAGCGGTGTGTAGCCAACTTCGGACTCCTGAACTGCGCCTTCTACGCGAGCCTGCCAAGGAGCAGGCTGTAGAGGTCCTTGCGCGGGAGAGACTGACGCATAAAACTCTGCTGCGTCATGCTGCCGACTGTCGAATCTCCACCCTCTAGCCTGTGACCTTAGTGCAAAGGAGGTGTACAAATTCAGAGGTCTGGGGCTCGTTTCGGTGCGCATTTCCCGAAAAATTGCCTGCAGGCCTGAGTCTGGAATATTGACGCATACCTGGTACAAGGCTGCCATGACCGAATTGATAAAGCAAGAGTTAGCTGAATTTACCAGGATGCGAACCTCCGTGTTGGGGACTGACACTGGAGTAGGCTGAGTGCCCGAGAATGCTCTCTGCAGCGTGAGCTGCTGCGGCAGGGGGCTCGTCGTCTGAACCTTAGGCTCCTCCGGGCGCTGCGCACTGAAGCACGACTTGAAACATAAACGGACACTGAAAGCAGTGCTTGTTTTTGTTGTAGACGACCTGCCTGCAGAATGGGCACTTGAGTCCCTTAGGGGTGTGTGTGGAGAAGCCTCCACAAGTCTTGTTGATGGAGACATGCAGCAACTCCCACTCCTTAGTGTGAACTTTCCGTATGTGCGACTTTAACTTCGTGTAATCTGGAGTCCAAAACCCGCAGAGGACGCATTGCGAGTTGAGCTCCTGAGCATCTTTGCCCGCAGCGATGGTGGGCAACTTAGCTCTGGAAGCAGCTCCTATCTCTTTATTAATGCGTTCTAGGGCCTCTGGAAGCACGGCTGGCGCATCCTGCTTATCTAGGGCCTCAAGGAGTTGAGGGCACGGACAAGCCCCGGACAACAGGTGGGACATTAAGCCGGGCCACTGTTTGAAGCTGGTTTTACAGGCGCTGCGTGTGGGAACTCCTCCTACAGCGTGTTTGGAGCGGTCAAAGCTTTGCGGTACGTACCTGCAAACAGACTCGGGATGTGCCTTAGCTGTGTGTAGCCACAGGCCATGGTCAGAGGCAAATTTCTTAGGACATAGGGGGCAGCTAATGGTCGGAGACCCTTGGTCCTCGTCAGGAATCGGAGTGGTCGTAAACTGCCCTAAGGAGGATAAAGTCTGCCGTGACTGAGACACCGCCAGTTCTTCACATGTGATGCTGGGGCGCGTCGTTAACTGCGACTGAAGTCTCGAGCCCCGAGTCTTCTGAAGTTTCTCAAGTTTGACGACAGGGTCCTCTATAGGATGTAACTCAAAAAGCTCTTGCGTCGGCACGTGTGTTACGTGCGCCGGTTTGTTCAAGACAGAGCGGATCTTGTATGCGTGAGAGCTCTGGCAGACTCCAGTGACAGGCCCACCCCTGCCAGTCCGAATGACAACGTAGGCCACACCACCGTGAGCCAAACCCTGAGTCTGGACACCGTGCTTGCAATTCTGCGATTATACACAAATTTGCGTACCTGATGCAATTTCTGCTTGGCCTCGCTCATTCTTAACCGCAAAGTCTGCATCTCGAAGTGACCGTAGCTTGCTTTTACGCCAAGGTACTTTATTTCCGAAACCCACTTAAGGCAGGGAAGTACTTGGTTTTACCTGTTCGCCACAGTTTTGACCTTGGCTCCTGTCTCGTCTTTAGTCCAGGCAGTGTACAACTTAGTTACTGCTGGAGCCATTTTGCCTGCAAATTCGGCAAGGATGTAACACTTCCCGCTGTTGCGAAAGAGTCTATGGTGCTTAAGGCTGTCAAGCAAAGATCGGATGAGGTTGTGACACTCCTCCAGCTCTGTTACCGACCTAATAGTTTTATGAACTGTGAGATCGTCAGCATAGCCCGTGAAGAAATCCTTTACCTTACTAGGCCCAAAGACACTCACTAGCTCCCTGTACAGCCTTCCTCTGAGAAGACTAAAGAGGCAGGGAGCCAGTTTGCAGCCTTGCTTGATACCGGTGGTGGTTTCTACCTGCGCAGTCTCTCCTTGCGCCGTCAGGCGATATGAGGACCTATGGTGCAGGCCATGAACCAGGGAGACCAGCTGCGGGTCTGAGGTCAACTCTGGAAGAATGTCCAGGATTTCTTGCCTGGAGACACTGTCAAACGCTTGCGATAAGTCCAGCGCAAATGTGATCCCCCCTACTAGGTCAGGGCGCAGTGCGCCCTCCCGGAGTTCTTGTCTTCCGGGGGAGGCAGTGCCACACAACTGTCGCACTTCTTGCAAATGCTGAAAGAGCCTGGCATGTGCATCAGGCAATCCTCGACCTGGAAGGTATGCGAACTGAGGCACGTCCCGCATGTACTCTTTCAGTCCTGGAGACAAAAGTTCGCGAGCAGCGCCTGCCAGTCCTTTGGCGTCGGGCCTGAGTATGCCTAGTGGACGCAGGTTTTGAGGCTTATCAGCGGGCTTACCGGGTTTAGGGATCAAGCATAAATCAGCGTCTAGTAAGCCTGGGGGGAGAACTTCAGATTCAACTAACGTCAGGTACTGGCTAAGCGAAGGACTGACTGCGTCGGCGCATAACTTCCAGGCCGCCGCTGGGGCTGAACCCTGTGGAACTGCTTGATGCGGCTTTATAGACCGGCAGGGGCGTTCTTCCGTCCTCTAGCGGGGGATGGGCTCCAAAGGTGGAGGAGGCAAATGATTTCAATTCTTCTAGCTCCTCAGCTGGGCTCATGAGCTTGCCCTGCAAGTTCTTAAGCTGAGCCCTGGCAGGAGGCTGCCATGGACGTAACTGTTTGAGCGTGGAGTAAGCCACTTGCGACGCCCCCTCTGCTATGGCCTCATCGACCCCCTCCAAGAATTTCGCCGCTCTTTCTTTTTTGCATTGCCTTGCCAGCTGCTTATGGTGAAGCTGAGCTGCTTCCAGCTCCGCTTGTTTGACGGGGTCCGGATCCGGCGCGGACCGAACATCCTTAGCAAGCCTCCACATAGCACGAGAGTCGGGGGTTCTGTCTGCAGGGTTGGCTCTGGGGAGCTTTGGGAAAAAGCGCCTCGAAGCTTCTAGCAAAACCTGGTTACACTCATCCGGGTACTGTTTAGGCATCTGACCCCTAACCCACTCCAGCATTTGCGTGGCTTCATCGGTATTGTCCCTGACTGCCTGCTGAAGCCGAACTAAGTCACACACTGGGGCGGCACGAGGCGCAGACAACATCCAATGCCCCACAGGCTTAATCTCTGCCAGCACAGGCACGTGTCCTCCTGTCTTCCAACTACTTAGGTGCCAGTCATGCAAGGGTTTCGCCTGCTTTGCGCGCGCTCCTGCCTGTATCTCCTTAGTAAAAACGAAATCTATTTATTTGCGAGCGCGACCCATTCTGAAAGAAGGTGTGGGGCTGCGAGGCGTGCCATGTATTCAGCGCTACTAGCTTCAGCTCTGCTACTAGGTCCTGAAGCGCTTCGCTGTCCGGGCGAAGCGAGGCTGCGCAAACGCTAGGGCCTACTAGCCTAGGGAGGGGAGAAAGGGACGCATTAAAATCCCCAGCAACAACAAGAGCGGTCCTGGCTGGCACTTGTTTGACGGCTTTGCTGAGTGATGCTAATAGGGATCCGCGGTCCTTTCTGTTTTGCTGCGGCGACTTAGATGAAGACCAGACATGCTGATAAACACATAAGACAACGTACGGGCAGCCTGCAAATACAAATCGAACTTCCAACAACCTACCTATCTTGTGCTCCCTCCAACGGATCTGTCCTGGATTGATGCGAGGAGACAGTAGCACTATGACCCCGTCGGCTTTGGTAAGGGAGGTATCCTCGACAGCCGCAGGTTGTGGATCTATATCCGGTACGGGCAGGTTTTTGGGCTTGCGTCCCTTGCTTTTGGGCACCTGCTTGGAGGAGGTTTGAGGTGTTTTAGGAGATGCAGAGACCACACACGTCCAACCAGCTACTGCAAACTGCGAAGTCGAGGACCAATGAGTCTCCTGTACGAGCAGACAAACGCTGTCGGCCTCTGTGCGGGGCCAATCTTTCAGTTCCGACCATTGCTGTGCTCCGACATGTCCTGGGTTCCATGATAGCACCCGTATCGGCTTAAACTGCTGTCCACCTCGGCTGGCACTTATGGACCTCGTGGTGGGGTGAGACTCAGCTGCCGGGGGACAATGCCCCTGACGAGCTACTTGTGCAAGAGGGAGGGGCTTACCTCTATAAAAAAAACACTTTCGTCATCCCTTTGGGCCTGTCGACAAGCTTTCTTGTAAGAACGTTTCCTAAGGCGAGAATCTTTTAGAGGAGTGAATTGGCAGTAGTGCCATGCGCTGTTTCGCGATCCAAGCTTAAAGCCTATAGACCGCTCCTTTCGTCTTGCGCTGGACGAAAACCCTGCCACTTACCCAGCAACAGGTGCATTAGCATGTGCAAGGGCTCCAGGAATTGGGACTTGGCGGCTCGGCTTCCGTGTGCTGGTGAGGAGCTATGTTCGCTACTACCTACACATGAAGCTGCTGCGAGCCGTAGTGGCTGCAAGAATGGAAAACAAAATGGAAATCAGTGGCGGGATACATACGGGTTATAAGCACCCTGAAGCCCAAGCCCTAAACCCGCATCTAAACACGTTCCACCTCAACTCTCAAGCCTGCCTTAGGGTTCAGGGTTTAGGGTTTAGTTAGGGCATGTTTTTGCTAGCTAGTGCAGTCTCAGAGGTTGCTTCTTGAATTCGGGCTGTGTGCGAGCCCAGATGCAAAAAAGGTTTGGGGCTTGCCCTGTTAAACGCCTGGAGCCGTCAACCAGAACTTTGACTCACGCACTGCTCAGAGAAGCGTTCCTGAAGGTCTTAAGGCAATGACCATGAACAGCACAAGGTCCAAGACTCTTCAGCTTGTGCGAATGCCTATAATACTGACGGGTAATATAAACAAGAACTCAGGGATATAAATGGGTCATGCGCGGGGAAGATATGCAATTAGGCAAGTTTTTGAGATCCGCAGAGGACTTTGCAGGGAAAAGGCTCCGAACATCTCAGCCTCAATGCTGGCCACACAGGAGACTCCTGCCGCCCCTGCGACACCGGTCATCGAAGAGCCTCCGCAGGCCAGCCAGCAGAAAACTGGTCTCGAAACCCAACTTTGAGGGCCTCTTGGGTTATTGCTCCGGCATCACGGAAGCGTGGATGAAGGGCGGTAGAGTTGCTACAGGGCTGTTTAAAGGATCTAACTCCAAGGCCCCTGGGCTAAGCCTTCCCAATACTGACATGCATGAGAGGAAGCATTTTGGTGTTGGAGGGCACTCAGCAAAAACCTCAACCTCTTCATGTCGTGCGTAGGGGTCTAGGGATGAGAGTCTAGTGTTTCGGGGCCCCACATGTCAACTTCGAGTTACTATGCCAGGTGACAGCCTTGTCGTGAGTTGTGCGTTGCTTCCAGAAGGCTCACACATAGCCCTGCATACTCGGAGCATGAAGTTGCCCAAGTAATTTCTGGGGCAATCCGGAATTCACGAAAGGATTAGGTAACATGCCTATGAGGCCTACAGCAGCGTTGGAATGGGCTTATGAAGTGACATAGGACATCACGTATCTCCAGGGTCCATCAAAGTAGTAGACGAGTCTGCTAACTTCCGGAAGATTCCTCCCTGCGTCGATTCTGGTTCTATACTACAGCACTGGCAGCTGACAACGCCTGTATCGTATAAGTCCCATATTCGGAGCCATAGTCTTTACTCCTTCAAGGGGGTTAGGCGGGGGAAAAGGGAACGACAATAGGGGCTTTTAGGGGGCATACTAGGAGTTCAGACCTTAAACCCTACAATATGGATTATTCAGGAGGGTACTAAGAGTTTAGACCGTAAACCCTAAACCCTACAATATGGATTATTCAGGGGGATACTAGGAGTTTTGACCCTAAACCCTAAACCCCCACAGTGGTTTGTCAAGGGGGATAATAGGATAGCTTATACTGGTGCCTAGCAACACCCTTGCTCCCGACAGTGACAGAGGAGGCCCCCGCCGCCCCAGCAGCTCCTGTGATTCCAGAGCCGCCGCAGGACCGGCTTTAGGAGTTTAGGGTTTACAGCTTGAGGGTTTTCGGGTTTAGGGTTTGAGGGCTTAGGGTTTAGGGTTTTACGGGTTGAGGGTTTTAGGGTTAAGGGTTAGGGAACTTGCTTCTGAAGTAAAAACACAGATTAAGAATGGGCCTATTAACCGGATAACATGTATCACCTAACGCCCTCGCTGCTGAGGCTAGATGGGTTCCCGTATATGACGTGAGGCGCGCAAGTTGATGCACACCCCCGTTTCAAAACCTCTCTTAGATGAAGCGCACCACCTCTAATGTTGAATATTCCCATTATGGTATGCTATGATTGTACCAATCTTGGGAATATTCGATGCTTTTCGAGGGTGGGGGTTCATTTTAGTAGGAGACAATTATTCTTGGAGAGATGGTCAGTGTGATCAGTCCAGCGTTGAAACAAGACCGTGCAAAACGTTTAGGAGTCTGTTGCCACAGAGCGTTTGCGTACTTTACACCCTCAAGTTTAAAGCCGAAGCCACCTGAACAGTTCACTCTTCTCCACATTTACAACTTCTCAAGATAGTGGAACCAGCTTAACTAGTGTTTTTGGAAACGACCATGGCTTATCAGCATCCTCTCTAGTCATGATAGTGATTGTCAGTACGCTTGATCTCCCCGCAACACCATAGCTGCTGTTCGGATCACTAACATTCACCATAGTCATTTCTACAGATTACACCAGTGTTTGGGGAGTGGTGTGCGCAGGTAAGGCTGACCTTTCTTCAGTCAGGGCTGTATCCCTTTCTAGGCCACTTATCCCTAAGCTCTCTGTATAGGCCATACCCCAAACCCTAAACCCAAAACCCTCACAAGAGAACCAGGAGTTGACTGGCGATGCCCTTGTAGCGCCAGCCTGCCATGTTGCAAGCTGCTCAGGAGGGAACCTAGCCTAGGGGTTGTTTAGGGTTTAGGAGTTAGGGTGCGTTTTGAGGTACCAAAACTCACCGAAAGTCTGGTAGGCCTCTTGGATCCTTAGAGCTAGTTCTTGGGACAGGCCGTGGCCCCTAATTTGGGGTTGTTTGACAATGGAGCTTATTGCCATCGGCCCCTTGCCAGGAGTCACCTGTCTTGACAAGCCTGTGTATCCGACAGTCTCGATCAAGCTGAAACTTCCGCAGTTGTAAAGTCGAGAGCTCGACAGCTTCGATCAGCTTAACCGGGTGCTCACCACTCTCATGTAGTGCTTCGAAGCTGAATATGGCCGATTGGGGAAAGGCTGCAAGGCCGGACACCAGTGGTAGTTGCAGCAGAGGTATGGGATGCGAGAAACGTGAATCCTTAAACCTAATCCCACAACCCTACTCCCGCCTAAACCCTAGAAACATTGCGAGCTTGAGCCACCATGGAGCCGGCCGCGGCTTGCAAACGTGGCCAAATTGTAGCGCAACTGTGCCGGACGAGAATTATGACTGTTATGCTATTATTGCTTTTACTACTGTTAGTGTTATCAGTACTACCATCACTCCAAGAAGTTGGGAAAGGTAGAAATCTGCCGGACAGATTGACAAACTTCGCACCACCCTAATGTAGACCCGTGATAAGAAACCCCCCTCGCCTGAATGGGACTATAATAAGGATCCTAATAGTAAGGCCCTTAAAAGGAGGGGGTTCATTAATCATGGGTCTACAGTAAACCCTGAGCCCTCAGCCCTGAACTCTGGGGTAGTGTGCGTCTGGCCTTGGCTTTGTGGCTAAGTGGCATCCCGTACTGATTTGGTTTGAAGGGGCGCAACAGGGATCAGGAATTGTAGTTACCCTAAACCTTAAACCCTTAAACCACCATAGTCTTCACTGTTTGGGCCCCGCACGGGTCCTGTAGAGTGTGCTACTAAAGTCGCCCTTAGCTAGATAGAACATATGGGGTATACAAAGGCATTAACATGATTGTGGGGAATCCATTTTCTATCGCTTAAGGGAGATTGAGAAGTGGCCTCACTGCGTAGAAATGTTTTTCTTCAACGTTGTAGGGTCAAACCTAGTCGAGCTTAAACCCTATACCCTAGCCCTACACCTGAACTTCCACACCCCAGCCCTAAAACCCACACCCCTCAGCCTGTACACCTCAAGTCCTGACTGTTCATTCTTCGTGTGCAATACAAACCTGCGAAGCTTCAGTGTGGGCAGGATAATCACCTGCTCCTAATAAACCTACAACCCTTTACTAATTAGTATTCCCCTCGCTAGGTAATAGAATTTTATGGGGAACATGTTTATTCAGAAAGATGCTGTGGGTCCCACACTCTATTCATTGTTAGGGGACTATTAAGTATCCCAATATTGGAGTACTACACTTTGATACTTTTTTGGTTCCTTGGTTGTATCCCTAAATCCCTAAGCCCTAAACCCCAAACCCTAAACCCTAAATCCCCAAACCCTAAATCCCTAAATCCCTAAACCCTAAATCCCTAAAGGGGTATTAGGTGGAGATGATGAGTTCCAAAGCAGATCTGGAGCTGTGTGCTTTTGTCACTCGTACTAAGGTAGAATGCTTAGGAGGACCCCCCACCCTGTAATAGTGGTATAGTAGGAATATAAGAGGACCCTAATATAATCCCTATTATCCACTATAGTCACTATTACTGGGTGGGGGGTCCACCTAAGGTAGACCCATGATTAATAAACCCCCTCCTTTTAAGGGCCGCAATATTACGATCCCTATTATAATCCCTATTTAGGGGGGTGGGTTTATGAATCAGGGGTCTGGGTCATCATTTCTGATTTCCGTTCTACATGACTCATGACTCTTAGGTTAAGACTGCAGCTCTGATCGCCAACTTCCAAAATGCCTTTCCATTTTTGTATCATTATTACGTGCATTCATGCCCCAAACCTCCGAAAGGATCCAAAAAATGGAACCCCCTAATGATCCCCTAGTTTCCCCAATGTAGTAATGGGTTCATATTGGGGGGGGGGTTCCATTTTTTGGATCCTTTCGGGGGTCTGGGGCAACAGCGTCGCGATTCAAAACAGGCAGCCCCTCATCTGGTCTGCTGTTGGGGAACTTAAGCTCCGGGAAATTTTAAGCGACCTCACACGACCTCAACCTAAATGGTGGTTTGTATAGGGAAGAGTACCAAGATGGCCTTAAATTGGGAGTTGAAATTCTTCTACATTACTCTGTATTAAGTTTAGGTTGCCATAATAGACATACATGGAAAAGTCTACTTTGCTTGATGGTTTAACTTTGCTTAATTTGTTGAACAAACAGCCCGAAACCCTAACCCACAAACCCACCCAGTCACTAGTAACCTCCTTGATGAAGTTTGGCCAGGTTCACACGCAACCAGTACCTGGAGGCCTTAGCAAAGGAGGCACAGATATGCCAGCAGCTCTGATAGGAATATCTGTAGTTTGGGGTTTAGGCTTTGAGGTCCAGAAATAAACATATATATATATATATACATATTTGTACATATATATACATATACATGTTCACGTACATGTGTATGTGTATGTATACGTGTGTGTTTGGATGTGTGTGCGTGGATGTAGGCACACGTGTGCGTTTTGGATATGAGTATATCTGCTTTGAAAGGATGTGTTGTGAGTCGCGAACTAGCCTGTTTCGCGTTTTTTGGAGGATGAAGATTTTCAGAAATCTAGCTTGGGATGGTCAAAGACTTGTGAATCTGTGGGCTTGGGGTGGTTTACAATATCTGGGTTTCAGAAGTATTCCAATGTGTCATTTTGGAGTCCTGCGCTGTCTTTACACAGAACCTGGCGAAAGCTTCTCATGACGCTGAACCCTAACCTTAATCCATTGAGGCCAAGTTCAATAGTTGGCTGGAAGGCTAGAAGAGGTCAGCAAAGCGTTTTGCAAAGGCATGAGGCCATATATGTCCAAAGAGTCCCGAGAGCCTGTCAAGTATCAATGCTTTGCTCCCTTGCAAAGCACTCAGATGACTTGAGGCTCGGCGAGCCTTGTACAACTATCAGAACTCAAACATGTCATCCAGGATCAGTATCTGGCTTGCCTGGGCTCAAAAGTGCAAGCTTTCGACCAGGTATCGAGGTCTAAGGATCTGGCAGAAAGTTCAACGGGAAGCTTGTTCAGAAATTCTGTGTGACGCAGTGGGCATGAATAGGCAAAAACATGCCTTGACCATGCCCAGTTTTTGTCGAATTCCCTCACAACAGACCAAAGCCAATACCTTGGGAATTTTCGTTTCTTGGTAAACTTTAAACCGTAGGTCATGAAGGTTTTTTAGTATCGGCCGTATGTTCTCAAAAGTGAACATGGTGAGCCTGAAAAGTTGGGTCCTCTTTGACAGCTCTCCAATTTCTGGAATCCTGGTTATGGGCATGAAGTACCCCATGCAAGCAGAATCCTTAAAACCTTATCTTGAGGGGCCTCAGAGTTAGATATCATACTACATCCACTCGAATAAGCTTTTTGCAATCCTGTACTCTAAGTAGGTTACCCAAGCTATTAGTACGCGCAGGCTCCACAAAGTAGGGACTGAACCCTGAAGCCTAAACCCCCAACTCTTCAACCCTAAGCCTTTAAACCCCCCCAAACCCCAAATCTTCGGATACCGCAGGGTCCCACAAGGTAACCCTAAACCCTGAAGCCTAAACCCTGCACAACCCAGTTTCAGCATGAGCTTCTTCCCAGACCCCTGGGAGGATCTAGAAAGTAGATCCCCCTTAAGGGGAAACTACCCAACACTAGTACAGGGTACCAAATCGGGGGTTCTACTTTCTAGATCCTCCCAGGGGTCTGGGTTGGGCCAATCGTGCAGGGCATCCCAGCCTCCAGGGGAGCCTGGCTCTACGGAGATTACAGGACGCCCTTGACTTGGGGTTTAGGTTCTAGGGTTCAGGGTTTAAGGTGCAGGGTTCAGGGTTTAGGGTTCAGGGTTTAGGGTTTAGGGTTTAAGGTGTAGGGTTCAGGGTTTAGGGTTCAGGGTTTAGGGTTTTCGGTTCAGGGTTTAGGGTTTAGGGTTTAGG